GGCCTGCTGTGTTCATCCAGCTCTAGACCTTGTTATCTAAGTATGTTTTTGCGTCTTGTTGGTTCCCCCACTACCTGCTGCAGACCCAGTCTAGCAGCTATGTTCTTTAGGATCCGACTTGCTGGATCAGTAGTACTGCTGCCGAGCCACTTTTGGTGGTGGACATGGAAATCCCCTACCATCTTCAGTGCTTCCTGTAAGTGTTGCTCAACATGGAGGAGTACTGACTCATCAGCTGATGGAGGACAGTATGTGGTAATCAGCAGGAGGGTTCCTTATCCATGTTTAACCTGAAACCATGCGATTTCATGGGCTCCAGAGTCCATGTTATGGATTCCCAAAACACCTCCCTCCCGACTGTATGCCACTGTACCGCCACCGCTACTGGGTTTGTCCTGCCGGTGGTACGTGACATATCCAGGGAAGGTGATGGTGGTGTCTGGGACGTTGTCTGTAAAGTGTGATTCCATGAATTTGACTGTGTCAGGCTGGTGCTTGATTAGTCTGTGAGACAGCTATTTCAGTTTTGGCACTAGCCCCCAGATATTAGTAAGGAGAACTTTGCAGAGTCGACAGGGCTGTTTCTCCCTTCATCTTTTCTGATGCCTAGGGCGATGCCTGGCTGTCCATTCAGTTTCATTTCTTTGAGACTTTGTAGTAATTGAAACAACTGTGTAGCTTGCTAGGTCATTTCAGAGGGTAGTGAGATCAACCACATCTCTGGGTTTAGAGTCACATGTCAGTCAGGTCAGGTGAGGATGGCAGATTTAGTGAGACAGATGGGTTTTTGTGACAATTGACAGGTAGTTCCATGGTTATTATAGATCCTTAATATCAGATTTTGTTTTAAAGTTGAATCCAAATTCCCTCGTCTGCTGTGGCAGGATTTGAATCCAGATCGCCAGAACATTAACTGACTTCCCAGATTAATAGAGACAACAAGGTGCAGGGCTGGATGAACACAGCAGGCCAAGCAGCATCGTAGGAGCAGATTAATAGTCTAGCGATAGTGCCACTAGGCCATCACCTCCCCTCATCACCATGTTGTCCCATGAGAGGGTGGCGACAGACTTTCTTTGACTATAGTTCTGATGGCTCTTGCTGTGCCATTTGTGTTCGGGAATGAGTTTGAGGTGGGGGAAGTGGGAGTGGGTGTTCCAGTCTTGTGACCAAATGATGAAAGGTTGTTACACGAGTTTGGGATCTGCTGAATTTATTGCAAGAACTGCCCAAATGTATCCCAGCCCTAGTTAGCATGGTGTGCAACTGGATGCTCTTGCAATGCACCTTCTATTCCTGGCCTTGTGTGGGAACGACAGTGAATGTTTAAGGTGGTGGATGGGCTCAGTCAGTGGCTAGTCCTGGCTCATATTGGGTTTCTGACATTGTTGCGATTTTCTCTCTGTTCTCACTCACAGGTCCAAGAGCTGGTGGAAAAAGCGTCCGACTGTCAGGTACAGTAACTGCCACTTTCTAGGCTTTGAGTGATTTGCTTGATTTATTGTCACATGTATTTTAGTAGAAAATACATTCAAAAGTGTTGTATAGTGTCAACACTCTCCTGTGCTATCTTAAAACACAGAAATATAAATCAAAACATGGAATATAAAGGCAGCAGGTTAGAGAAATAAAGAAAAAGTGTTCAACGTCATAGTCCTTCTTGTTAATTGCCAGGGTCCTGGTGGCCGGGCATGAGTCCCCTTTGCCACATTGCCACCAGAATGAAAGTTGCCACCCATAGGTCATTGGTGTTTTTGCATCTACGTGGCAAGGTGCGTGCCTAACCAACCTGCCATTCATCTGAACTTAGCAAGAGTTTGTACTTTAACAGATTGTCTACCTGTGTCACTACAAGGTAGTTTGATCTCCATCCCCAATTGTTCTTCAGGAGCTGCTGGAAGCCTGCTCAATTGAATCACTGCAGTCTGTCAGCTGAAGATTCTCTCACACTGCAGTCAGAAAGGCGATCTGAGGATTTTTGAGTTGACAAAAATGAGACATTGTCTGAACGGGCCAGGTGTGTGGGTGCGTGCCTGTGTAGATGACCTTGTTGGAGATGGTGTTTACGTCCATTTGCTGCTGTAGTTTTTGTTGGGTGTGGGGGAGATGAATGTTTCTGTGGATTGCTGAGATGCGCATGAACCCACTGGTTTGGCCTGATCATCAAACTGACTCTGTTTTCCCTTGGTTGCAGATTCTCTCCGTGTGCCCTGACATCAAGTGGCATTTTATTGGACACCTGCAAAAAAACAATGTCAACAAGCTGATGGGTAATGCTGTGGATGGCATGGTTGTGCGTCTTACTCACTGGGCAGTTGGGCACCCGCTTTATCCTAGATCTCTCCTGATGACTAGCTGCTGGTATTCCTTGTGTTGATTGATTGAGGAGGAGATATGACCTGGAGTTGGTGGAGAGACTGCCCACCCACTCGTTTTGAAGTGGCGGCTGTGAGATTGTTTACATCTCCTGAGAGGGCAGATGGGGTCTGGACTTGAATGTCCATTCGGCATTAGGGATTGCAGCACAGTGAGAGTCCTGCAGGGGAAGTATGGCCTTGATCACACATCAAGGTCTCCAGGGTGGGAGTTGAACTGTCAGTTTGTGACTGGAAGCAGGAGATTTACCCACAGCACCATGACTCACACCCTGTGAGGACAGAAGCTCGTGGTTGCAGGGCTGAATGCTTGCTACAGTTCAGATAAGCAGGAATAGGAATGCGATGCAGTATTTGTGAAAGCAGTTTGACCAACGCAGCACTATTAGGAACAATCATGAGGTTTGCACTGGCACACAGGACTCTCTTTCCTAATGCCCGTCTATTGACAAAGCCTTTCTTTTCGAACCTCCCCTGGCAGGTGCCCCCAACCTGTTCATGATTGAGACCATTGACTCCATCAAACTTGCTGATAAAGTCAACCAGTCCTGGCAGAAGAAGCAAGCTCCTCAGAGGTTGAAGGTGATGGTACAAGTCAACACCAGTGAGGAAGACAGTAAGTACAGGGTCACAGTGACTGACCATTGTCCAGGGTTCACATCTCCCTGTGAAGAGGCGAGGATTGTTTTTCTGCCGTTTTGCTGTTGAAACCTTGGTAGCAGTGCTGTGTGTTTTGGACTATTTGCTTGTGAATTGATGTTAAGTGTTTAGTGGTGTCTGAATACCATGTATGTGTATCACTCTTTGAAGGTTGCAGAACAGTTTGAGAGGAATTCATTAAGTATACAGTACAATAGGCTTTATTAACAGAGGCAGAGTACAGCAGCAACAGGTGTTGCTGAACTTGTATAAGATGCTTGTTAGACTCTAGCTCAAAACTTGTATCCAGTTCTGGGTGTCGCTCATTGCAAAGAATGTGAGGACAATGGAGAGAATGCTGAAGTGGTTTCTGAGAACACTTCCTGAGGTGAGGAATTTCCGAAGAGAGGCTGTAGAAGTTGGGAATAAAAACCAAAAGAACTGCAGGTGCCGTAAGTCGGAGTACTGAAGAAGGGTCACTTGACCCAAAGAGTTAACTCTGATTTCTCTCCACAGATACTGCCGGATCTTGTGAGCTTTTCCAGCAACTTCTGTTTATGTTTCTGTAGAAGTTGAGGCTGTTTTCATTGGAGAAGAAAATAACTGAGAGGAGATTGGCTAGCGGAATTGAAAATGATGAGGGGTTTGGAGTGGAGTAGATTGTGACATTCCCAGTCCTGAAGGGATCAGGAGCGAGATGGCACAGACTGAAAGTACTTGATTGAAGAGGGAGAAGTGACATGAGGAAAAGCAGTTTCAGGCACTGAGTGGCTAATATCTGAAATGCACTGCGTTGGTGTGTGGAGACGGATTCAATTTAGGTGGTCTGAAGGGATTGCAAGTGTTAGCTGAAAGGGACGAAAGTGCAGCATTATGGGGAAAAGGCTGTGGAAGGCATAAGTCAACTGTTACTTGGAGGAGCAGGAAGGCTGACGTTTCGGGCCTAGACCCTTCAGGCCTGAAACGTCAGCCTTCCTGCTCCTCTGATGCTGCTTGGCCTGCTGTGTTCATCCAGCTCTACACCTTGTTATCTCAGATTCTCCAGCATCTGCAGTTCCTGCTATCTCTGCTACTTGGAGGACTAGGCCAAACGTAATAGGCTGAATGGCCTTCATTTACACTGTCACAATTCTGTGACTTGGTGACAATAGGTTGGGAAATTTTGGGTGCAGCTATAGAGCATGTTGCTGCGATCACGTTTGGAGAACTGTGTTAGTTGTTGGTCTCCTGACGTACTTTGCAGGTCAGATCTACCATTCTGCAATGCAGTGAATCCAGTTTGTACAGGGATCACCTTCCAAATCCCTCCCTGGGCCTGATTGGATCTGACACCATCCCCCCCACTTTGAGTGAGCCTGCCTTTCTAAGTGATTTTTGCTTCAGTGTTGGATGATCTAGTAACAGTCTGGTTAGTCTGTTCCTGGACCTGGGTGGCTGTGTTTGAGCTAACTCATTGTAATTGTTTGAGAAGCAGTACAGACAATGTTTGCATGGCCGATTGCTGGGATGGGTGGGGTTGTGTTACAAGGACTGGATAGACAAGCTGGTCTCCTGCTTTTAAAAGGCTGATGATGAGAGAGGTTGAGGTGTGGTTTTTAATACCTTTTAAGACTGAATTAGACAAATTCTTGAATAACAAGGTGTCAGAGCGTTGTGGATTTGGGTCAGGCTGGGGCACACAGGAAAGCAGAGCTGAGACTCGGTGCTACAGTGACTCAGTGGTTAGCACCACTGCCTCTCAGCGCCAGGAACCCAGGTTCGATTCCACCCCCGGGCGACTCTCTGTCTGGAGTTTACACATTCTCTCTGTGACTGTGTGGGTTTCTTCTGGATGCTCCAGTTTCCTCCCACGGTCCCAAGATTGCAGGTTAGGGTGGATTGGCCATATTAAATTGCCCATAGCGTCCAAATATGTGCAGGCTGGGTGGGTTAGCCATGGGAAATACAGGGTTACAGGGATAGGATAGGAGTTGTGATGCTCTTTGGAGGGGTCAGTGTGGACTCGATGGGCCGAATGTTCGGCTTCCATACTGTAGGAATACTGTTTTCCCTTCCCACCTCCAGGATCTGTCTATCTTCTCCAGCCCTCCCTCCGCCTGAATTCACCCTTGTATGTTGTGAGATGTGCACAGCAAGCTGCCATAAATATAGTGCAGAGATAACAAGGTGCAGAGCTGGATGAACATAGCAGGCCAAGCAGCATCAGAGGAGCAGGAAGGCTGATGTTTCGGGCCTAGACCCCTCTTC